AGAGGAGGCCTCCAGCAAAATAGTCGTGAGAGTCGCGCAAACACATGGAAGAGGTGCACACATTTGATTGCAGCCCTGTCGTTTTCGATGTCTGGCGACCCAAGGGCGCCTCCGAAAGTTGCCGTGTTCTTCAAAGCGGCTCCTGAAGGTCTCGTTGCAAGGAGGCTCCGGGCCTCTGGGCGCTTGGATCCTTTGACGGTCCAGACGCAGGAACAGGGGCCCCACCGCCCTGCGGACGTGGTGGAAGCCCTTCAGTGGGCGCTGTCTGGTGCGAGGAACGCTGGGGGGGCATCGCTGTGATTCTCGACAGGTCCAGTGGGCGTCTAATCCAGGAGGTAGCAGACTACGTCCGTGACCCGGGCCGCGTTTTCATTTTCCGCGCCGGCTGCGCGCCGCGCGCGAAGGCGAACGGTGCGCACTTCTGCGGCTTGGTGGCCAGGGCGTCGATCCAATGCGAGGGCGAGCGGGCGCTGGAAGAGCGGGCAGGTTGAGGGCTATGGGTTCGCAGCGCGTTCTCGACATGCGCAGGGGGGGCATTGTGTTCCTGGTGCAGGGGGCGTGGGCCATCCTCGATCATCAGAGACTGGCGCGGCAGGGGCGCTCACAGACTGGCTCCGCCATGCCCTGGCTTGGGCCGTGCAGCGCGACGATGTCTTCAATTATTCGCGCAACTTCATCAGGGCAATCGCTCAGGACGAAGGGCGCGCGTGGGGTCCCGGGTTCGCTGACGTGCGCATCCCCGATAAGGCGGTCGCTTGCGTCGATGAGGGGTGGGCCGCTAGTCGCTGGTCAGGGCGGAATGGGGGGGCCATCGGTGCGCTCGTCGAGTGCGTGCTAGAATGGAGGGGGCGCTGGAGGAAGGCCGCGAGCTTTTCGCTTCGAGACTGCGGAGGGAGATGGGGGCGAGGACGAGGGGCCCAGGGCCGACGACGAGGAGGGCGAGGATTTTGGTGGGTCGGGCTTGTTTGGCCCTGGCGGAGGCGGAGGCGGGGGGGGCGGGCGCGCCGCCGAGGGCGGCGGTGACGCGGGGGCGATGGGGGGCGATGGCGGGGGCCGCGGGCTTTCAGCCAAGCGAGGCGGCGCCGTCGGGCGCGGGCGGCGGAGCCTCCCTGGGGGCCGACGCTGATTCAGCGGGCTTTCCAGTGGTGGCGGCTGCGCGGCGGGCCACTCGCGCCGATGCCGTGCGTCGCAAGGATGATGCGCTCACGCGTCGGTTTCGAGCGGGCATGTGCCGGGGGGAACGGGGCGAGAAGAACGCCGGCACGGAAGTCGGCGTCGTGCTCAGGGAACGGGGGGGGCGCTGCGCGCTGAAGATCTGCGTGGATTTCGACGAACGCATCGTAATTCGAGCTCATGCTGGGAAGGCCGCCAACGCAGCGCGACTGGCGGCGCGGCGGCAGCGGCTCGCGCGCAGACTGGACTTGGAGGCCCTGGCACGCGCTGATGCTTTCCAGCGGGCACGCGGCACTGGCAGAGCGCTGCGCGGGCCCGATGAGAACGCTGAAGCCGCGCCAGGTCGGGATCTGGAAGGCAGAGATGGCGCAACCGCTGGCGCATGTCATTTTGCCGCGGCGCGCGGCGGCGCCGCGCCTGCGGGGCCCGGCGCCGAACTTGACCGCGGAGTGGGTGCAGGCCGTTCCATGGAATCGCGAGGGGCGCGTGAAGGTTCGCTGCGGTTGCCCCTTCGCGCAGGCGCTGGGCGCTGAGTTGTCGCCGCTTGGGTTCGGGGGAGAGATGCCTCCGACGTATTGCTCCGCTCTCTCCGTGCGCGCGCGCGCCCAGGGCCAGTGAGATTTTCGCGGGGGCGCATTCGCCTGCGGCTGCTTTGCGCGAGCGGCTGCGTCGTGGAGGAGGCGCTCGTGCGTGCCATTTCTTCTGCGTCGAAGTGGCCGACGGAGATTCGCCGGGCCGCGGGCCTTTTGCAGGCAGTGGCCGCCCGAGCTGCCAGAGGACATGCGACCCGAGCTTTTCGCTCCTGTCGTGGTTGGGGGGGAATGAAGGATGCCGGCTGATATGGGGGCTTCCAGCCAAGATTTGCACTGGCGGGCTGATCGATGCGCCCGCCGCGCGGAAGGCCGCCGACGCTGGCGCGGTTGCGCCCAGCGGGGACTTTCAGGACGGCCGTTGCAGTGGTGCTGCGGCGGCTGGACGCGCCACTTCGGCCTGCGTGGCGGCCTCGGGCGCGCGGTGACGCTGGTGGGGAAAGGGGGCTCTGGGCGCTGCTTCAGCATCGCGGCCCCCTCCCCGTCCTCCCCATTTCGTTACTTGCGTGCGTGCCCCTCTTCCTCTCCTTCTGTCCCCCCCCATCGCCCTCTCCCTCTCGCTATGCGTGCACTTCTGGCTCAAAGTTTTGGGCCATCCCGGCGATTCCCGCTTCCCGTAGACTCACGGCGCGCTCCGAGAGGCTTCTAGTGGGGATGGCGCCCGAGGGATGGAGGCTCGTGCCACGCCCTAAAAATGCCGTGCCTGGCACTTTGTAAATGAGCCAGGGTGGTGGTGCACGCGCGGTCGACCCTTGCCGCCTGCGCGAGAGGCCCCCCGACAGAATGGGGCGCGAGGGCGATGGTTTCGAAGAGTTGGGCGGGGGTCGTCGCAGTCGATCGCGCGAGACGACGCCCGCCCGCCCGGGTGCGCTCCGCTCCACCCGCCCCGGCGCACCCGGCGGAGTGGCTTGGCTGATCCTCTGAACGGATACCTAGCGTGGGACACGAGACCGACCCCTGGGAGCCACGTGCGCCTGCGGGGCCCCTGCGCGCTCCCTGGACTTCCCCGGCGGCGCGCGCGGGCCCGCCGATGTCGGCTGGAGGCCCCAGGCCGCCGGCGCTGCCATCCGTGGCAGCGGCGCCCCCTTCTGCAGCCTCGGCTGTGTCCGCCGTCTCGGCCGGCGGCGGCCTCCCTTGCCCGCCCGACGGTCGCGCGGCGCCCACGCGGCGAGCGGAAGAGACGCGGTGAAGGCGGACCGCGGGGCGGCATTTCTGGTGGGGATCGCAGCAGAACGGGGCGACGAGCGCGAGGTGGCTATGGAGGCCGAGTTCGGCTGGCGCGCAGAGTCGCCCGAACCCGCCCGGCGGCTCTCTCTCGAAAGCGACCGCAGCCGCGTGCCACTGCGCAGCACCAGCGGCCTCGGCCGAGGGCAGCGCGGCGCCCGCAGACGGCGGCGCAGCATCGATTGCAGCGCTGGGGCCCAAGGCGCAGCCCGTTTTGTGCCGGGCGTTCAAGGCGCCGCCGTCCTGCTGGCGCGGCGCGGAACAAGGCGCCGCCGCCTGGGGTGCGTTTCGATTATATGGAATCCTCTATGCTGGTCGAAATGCACGGGCCCAAGGCGCCGCCGTCCGCCCTCTTGCAGGTCGCCGCCGCCCAGCGCGCCCAAGCCGCCGCCGCCCGACTTGCCCGTGGCGCCGATGACCGAAGAGGCCAGCGGAGAGTGGCATCAAAGAGCGTTCGAATGATGCAACAGACCGTTCACCACGCCGTGCGTACGCCCTTACACACAGGAGGACAGTGGCGTGCGGAAGCGGTATGTGTGTGTGTATATATGTATGTATGTATGTATGTATGTATGTATGTATGTATGTAGGTAGGTAGGTAGGTAGGTAGGTAGGTAGGTAGGTAGGTAGGTAGGTAAGTAGGTCGGTATGTATGTATGTATGTATGTATGTATGTATGTATGTATGTATGCATGTTTACATATATATATGCATCTGTTCTCCTCGGTTATCTGGCCGCTGCGCGTTTCGCTTGGATTTACAGTTCCTCCTCCTTGCCGCCCATCGCTGCGTTAACAGTGCGCGCGCTTTGTACACTGTGCCTGCGACCATGTTCGATCGCAATTCGCACTTCCATCTGCTGCTCGCGCCTGGGGATCCCCTGCGCCGCTGACGCAAAAGTGTGTGTGTACATGTGTGTGTATGTGCGTGTGTGCGCGTGTGTGTGTGTGTGTGTGTGTGTGTGTGTGTGTGTGTCCGTTTGTGCGTGCATTTGTGTGTGTGTGTGTGAGTGTGTGTGTATGCGTGGATTCGTGGGTGGGGGGGGGGGCGATTTGAGCGGCAGGAGACCTCGGCGGAGGAGGCGCGGTTGCTGTGTGAGGATGCCTGCAACCTGCGCAGGCGCGGGATGAGTTCTACAGGACCCAGCAGGAGTTCGCAAGTGACACCGAGACTTCCAGTCCAGTGGCAGTGTGAAGTTTACAGCCCAGTGATCCCGTCAGTGGCTGGGGCTCGGGGTTGCATGTGGGCCGCCGCGTGCTATCGCACGGCCTGTGCTGCCAGAAGAAGCCGCTTGAAGCTACCTGCGTGATGTGACACAGAACCTGCGCGTGCAGCAGCTCTCGAGGGCCTGAGTCTGGCGAGGAACGTGGCGGGCCATGGGCGTGTTCCTCTGTGCGGCACGCGTGGGCGAGAGCCATGGCCGGGGGGCTGTGTGTTGTTGGCAATTTTCGCTGGCCTCATACGTAGCGCGCGTAACTGCACATTTTCAGATCATCATCCATCATCCATTTCATCATCACCATCATGAACATCATCACCGTTATCGTCATTGTACTTCCCATGCTATCCGCATGCATGCATCTTGCTGCGGGGATCATACCTGCATGCGAGCAGACTTGAGCATGGCACGAAACAGGTCTGATTTGGCACAGTTGGTTCGTCATCTGTCGTACGCAGTGTTGGTGCGCGCGGGCATAGGTGGGGCTAGCACCTCCCCCCCCGCCACCTCCACCAGGCAACCGGGGTTATCGCCGAAATTCAGGTTTTGATGCCGCAAAAATCCAACGTTCGCGCCGAAGTGTGCAGAACACCGCCGAAGATTGCCGGAATCCTACGTGCGGGAATCCTACGAAAAAGGCCGAGGATCCTCGGCAAAACGCCAGATGACCGCCGAAAGCCGTCGAAGATTGCCCAGGGCTGGTGGGTAACAGGGGGTCCGTCGTCGAATGCATAGCCTGGAAGTTCAACTCCAACGCGTTGCGGGTTGCGCGTTGCATCATCGGGGCAGCCGAGGCTTGTGGAGTACTGGGGCATCGAGTGCACGCCAGTGGAGGCCCCGAGCGCCAGGTGCGGCCCCGGCGAGGAAGAGAGACGTGCGAGGACACAGGGCCCCTCCCGCGACCGCGGTCGAGGCAGGCAGGGCCGTTCATTGCTCTCCTCCCTCCCTCCGTCCTCCCTTTTCGTTCCCTCCTTCACTGCTCCTTCTCGTCGTTCCGTCCTCCTTCCGTCCTCTTTGGGCCCACCCCTGCCCAGGCCCGTCTGGGCATGGTGGAAACTTTGGGGCGGTAGGAGGATGAACAGCCCTTCCGTCGTTGTCCAGGAGATTCCGACGGGGAGTCCTCCGACTGAATCTAGTGCCCTGGCGGCCAGTCCGTGGCAGCTTTCTGCCCGTGGAGCGTTGGTGTCAGCGTTGCACTCCTGCGGCCCGCATCAACAGGATTTTGGACAAGGCGGCCAGGCATGTGCAGCCTCCCTTTCGCTTACTTGTTAGTCATGTGACTGGTCTGTCATGCTGTACATATGTACATCCCTCCCTCCTCCTGTCCACAATTACACAATATGAATCTAGCTCTCCTCTCTCTCCACTGACCCCTTGCAGAAGAGATCCGCCCCCCTCCGCGTATGATTGCTTACACAGAGGATTGGGCCGCCTTTTTTATAGCTTTATTTTTTTGATCCATGTGTGTGTGTGGTTTTACATTGCGATTCTATTCGGTGTTTCAAAGTTGTGATCCCGCTGCAGCGTGGGCCTCATCTTCGGAGTGGCGCTTTTCTCCCGTCGTTCAGTGGCGTTCCCGCCTTAGCGCGGGCCACTTTTCTGGGTCCGAGACCTTTTTCATCGTTGTCGTTCCCTCATTTTCCTTCTTCCACCTTCTCCTGGTCCTCCTGCTCCTGTGATGCTGCTGTTCGTCCTCGTCCTCATCCTTCTTCATCCTCCCCTTTTCTTCCTGCTCGTCTTTTGCATTACCCGCCACCCTCTCCTGTGTACGCGGCGCATTTTTTCCATTGCGCATGGCGTGGTGGCTTCTCTTTTGGAGTTCCAGTGGCTACGACACGCGTCCGCGGATGGAGAATAGTCGGCGCAATGGGAGAAGGGATGGGAGCGACGGGTAAACTGCCAGATATGGCGCGAGCGCACCCAGGTTGTCCTCCCTCCCTCCTCCCTCCTTCCTCCTCCCTTCTCCTCCCTCCTCCCTCCTCCTTCCCTTCTCCCTCCTCCCTTCTCCCTCTTCCCTTCTCCTCCCTCCTCCCTCCTCCCTTCTCCTCCTCCCTTCTCCTCCTCCCTCCTCCCTCCTCCCTCCTCCCTCCTCCTCCCCTCTCTCCCTGCCTCCTCTCCGTGCCCGTCGGACCGCTGTCTCTCGTCGTTGTCATCATGACCGTCGTCGTCGTCGTCGCCGTCGGAGGCGTTGTCGTTAGCGTCGTCGTCGTCGTCGTCGTCGCCGCCGTCGTCGCAGGCGTTGTCGTTAAACGTGGGCGTCGTCGTCGTCGCCGTCGTCGTTGTCGTCGTCGTCGTCCCAGGCGTCGTCGTTGGCGGCGTTGTTGTCGTTGTTGCCCCCGCCCTCGCCCTGGCCTTCGTCGTCGTCGTCGTCGGTCGTCGCAGCGTCGTCGGCGTCGGCGTCGTCGTCGTCGTTGTTGGCTCGCCGTCGCACCGTCGTCGTCGCAGTCAGTTTCGTCGCAGTCGTCGTCGTTGCCGCTTCCACCGTCGCCGTCGCCGCCGTCGGTTCTTCAGCCACTCTTGCTCAGGGTGGCCATGCAAGCGCGGGAGCCCCCCGCTTCTTGTTTGCCATCCCCCGACCTCCCCAACGTCGTGACTCGTTCACGGCGTGGCTCCCCGGAGGTAGAGGGGGCGGGCCGGCCACGCCACGCCTGGCGCCGGCGCCGTCTGGGAATGCCTGAGACGGGCTCATTCCTGGGCGGCGCCGGTGCGAATCGTGACGTGACCACGGGTGAGGGGGGTGTGCGCGGGGCCGGTCACCGGCTTCATCGCGAGAAATTCATAAAAGGAAGAGGAGGAGAAGGAGGAGGGGGAGGAGGAGGGGGGAGGAGGAGGAGGAGGAGGAGGAGGAGGAGGAGGAGGAGGAGGAGGAGCATAGGCTCCTGGGGAGGGTTCGCGGATGCAGAAAGCGGGCAGACGCCTTCAATCGTGGTGTTTTCACAGCGAGAGGAGGCCTGGGTTTAGTGATACAGGTCGGGTCTCTTGCGGCTGTTCGGGAAGATCCAGGCACCTCCGGAACGCCCCGGCGTTGCGCAGCTGCTGGATGGAAAGCGTCCTGGGGTTGGAAAGCCGTTCAGAGCCGACGAACTCGTTCGAATACCCGTCCCGCTTGTGCAGGACACCGTGACTCTGCCACGCCGAGGGGAGGTCGGGGCCTTCTGAGACTCTCCCCGAGGGCGGATCGCCTTCGCCCCTCCCCGAGGGCGACGCGGCCAGGCGGGCAATGGTGGTCAGGCACCGGCACCGCCCAAGCATGCTTCTGCTCCCTGTGCGTCGGCCACCCTCGGGGGCGACGCGCGTGCGCGCTCAGGAACCTTCCAGCACGTGCTCGGCGGTGGGCGCTTGCTGGCAGTGCCGCCCGGGTCACGATGTCTCTCTGCAAGCAGTGCCTGCGCCCTGGGCTCTTACAGTCGGGGCCCTGAAGAAGGAACCCTTTTCGTTGGGGAGGGGCTCCGCGTTCCTGAATCGTTTCGCAGCTTGCCCTGGATTCTCCTTAGGCTTTCGATACGAAGTCGAAGTTCAACTTATGGAAAAAGGGGCCTCGTTCCTTATTTAGGGTTCCTTAGGTCAACGCCTCGACTGTACTTCTGCCGCCCAGGAGCCGCATGGGCCCGCCGAGGTTTCGCCGCGTCGTCGCCCGCGGCCGGTTTCGCCGGCCGCCTCCTCGCCGCCCGCTCGGGGGCTCCGCCGAGGCTTCGCCGGCAGTCCATGGCTTGCGCCGCATAGCTTGCACCGCACAGCTTGCTCCCTCCTCCTCCTCCCCCTCCTCCCCCTCCTCCTCCTCCTCCTCCTCCTCCTCCTCCTCCTCCTCCTCGTCCTCCTAACACGGTCAGGGACTTTGGCTTAGCGTGTCTCGCCGCCGCTTCTGGCCCACCACGCTTCGGCGCGGCACGCCATCCACTTCCCAGTCCCCAGGCTTCAACGTCCCGAGCCTTGCCGAGCGCGACACGCTAGCCGCGCTTGCAAGGCATGGCGTGTCGCCGGGGCCGCTGCAGCAACACGCCAAGCAAAAGTTCCAGATCGTTGCGTGCGCCACACAGATAGCACCACGTGGCTTCAAGGGCGTAAAAGGCGCCCCTATCCTGGTTTACGAGTGCTGTGCGCTGAACCTCCTGAGGGCTGACAGGGTGATCCCTGCACACCGCGCGTGTCGCGCGGCGTCCTGGCGGCTCTCTGGCCTTGGGAGTTCCCAGGAGGTTTACGGACCACGCACTTGTATCGGGCCGAACGAAAGGGGGGATAGGGAAAGGGGGGGTGAACGAAAGCTGCTGCATGCAGCTGGTTTCGGCCCCGCCGCCGGGCCCATTCCTCGATACATGGGCGCCTCCTGGCGCTGGGAGGCACTGGGAGAATCAGCCACGTGAGCTGATTCTCAAGCCCCCCCTTTGCTATCCCCCCCTTTGGCCCAGCTCGATTGTCACCCAGGGTGGGGGCGTTTTTTTGCACCCCTCAATGGCCTGCACATACCCAGAGATCCGACGTCGTGTTTCTTTTCCATACGGAGTCCCCGGAAGCCTCGACCGATTCCCCAGGACCGGTCTTTCATCCCGAGTCGTTCTCTGACGGTCCTGGGGCCCGGCGAGGGCCCCCAGGGGCCGAAAGTAGCGACAAGCCTCCCGTCGTGATTTTGTGCAAGACGCAGGAGGAGGAGGAGGAGGAGGAGGAGGAGGAGGAGGAGGGGGAGGAGGGGGAGGAGGAGGAGGAGGAGGAGGGAGGAGGAGGAGGAGGAGGGGGGAGGGGGGGGAGGGGGAGGGGGAGGGGGAGGGGGAGGGGGAGGGGGAGGGGGAGGGGCAGGAGGAGGAGAGGAGGAGGAGGAGGAGCGGGAGGAGGAGGGCGGCCCCTGGGGGTCTCTGGGTAGCACGGGCTCGCGTGTGCGAGGCCGTGCCTTTCGGTGCCGGCGGGCGCCTCTCGAGGGGGGGGGGTTTGGCGCAGGGTGCGCGCGCGTGCTCCTGCTGCTGCGCCTAGGTCGGGCCCGTCCCCCTACAGGGGGGCGTCGGACGAAGCATAAGAAAATTATACGCGAGAAAATGCTCCAAAGGTGCCCAAAGATCTGCAAAGTGCTCCCCTGACTACAGGGGGGCGTTGGACGAAGAATAAGAAAAATAGACGCAAGCACTCCCCTACAGGGGGGCGTTGGGCGAAGAATAAGAAAACTATGCGCAACAAATACCTCCAACGATGCCCAAAGATGTGCGAAAAGTGCTCCCCAGACTACTTTCCGGACTGTTTTTGAGCACTCCCCCCTGTAGAGGGACAGGCCGGGACCTTGCCGGAACCTTGCCGGGACCTTGCCGGGACCTTGCCGGGACCTTGCCGGGACCTTGCCTGGGTACTTTTCGCCCGGAGACCCCCAGGGGCCGCCCCGCGCGCGCGAAGTAGAATAGTGTTCACCAGTTGCCGGAGATCTTATAGCACGCCTCTGGCCCGTGGGGCCGGCGAATTTCTGGACTGTTTTTGGACATTCCCCCTGCAGAGGGACGCAACAAAGTGCTCCAAAGAGGCCCAACGATCTGCAACAAATACTCCCCAGACTACAGGGGGGCGTTGGACGAAGAATAAGAAAAATAGACGCAAGCACTCCCCTACAGGGGGTCGTTGGACGAAGAATACCACAAACATACGCAACATAATGCTCCCAAGACGCCCGAAGATGTGCGAAAAGCACTCCCCAGACTCTTTTCTGGAGTGTTTCTGAACACTCCCCCCGCAGAGGGACCGGCCCGACCGACTGCTGCGCCCCCCCTGTAGAGGGTGCGGGGATGCTTTCCGACGTGCTCGGGGAGGAGGAGGAGGAGGAGGAGGAGGAGGAGGAGGAGGAGGAGGAGGAGGAGGAGGAGGAGGAGGAGGAGGAGGAGGAGGAGAGAGGAGGAGGAGGAGGAGGAGGAGGAGGAGGAGGAGGAGGAGGAGGAGGAGGAGGAGGAGGAGGAGGAGGAGGAGGAGGAGGAGGAGGAGGAGGAGGAGGAGGAGAGGAGGGAGGGGGGAGGAGGGAGGAGAGGAGGGTAGGGAGGGGGAGGAGGGGAGGGAGGAGGGAGGAGGGAGGGGAGGAGGGAGGAGGAGGAGGAGGAGGAGGAGGAGGAGGGCGGAGGGGGAGGGAGGAGGGAGGAGGGAGGAGGGAGGGAGGAGAGGGAGGGAGGGAGGGAGGGAGGGAGTGGAGGGAGGGAGGGAGGGAGGAGGGAGGGGGGAGGAGGGAGGGAGGGGAGGGAGGGAGGGAGGGAGGGAGGGAGGAGGGACGGAGGGAGGGAGGAGGAGGAGGAGGAGGAGGAGGAGGAGGAGGGAGGAGGAGGAGGAGGAGGAGGGGGGGAGGCCCTCCCTTCTGCAGGCAGTCGGCGGCCGCGGCCTTCGAGGCCCACCTCGCGGCCCTGACCGAGGCCCTGGACGTGCAGGCCGCCCTTGTGCGCAGCGCCCTGGACCTGCAGCCGGCCTCCTCGCTCGTGGGCTTCAAGACGGTCGGCCCGCCGCGCGCCCCGAGATCCCTCCCAGAGAGGCAGCGAGTTCCTCCTCCTCCTCCTCCTCCTCCTCCTCCTCCTCCTCCTCCCCCTCCTCCTCCTCCTCCTCCCTCCTCCTCCTCCTCCTCCCCCTCCTCCCCCTCCTCCTCCTCCTCCTCCTCCTCCTCCTCCTCCTCCTGCGTCTTGCACAAAATCACGACGGGAGGCTTGTCGCTACTTTCGGCCCCTGGGGGCCCTCGCCGGGCCCCAGGACCGCCAGAGAACGACTCGGGACGAAAGACGGGTCCCGGGGAATGGCTCGAGGCTTCCGGGGACCGCGTATGGAAAACATCACGACGTCGGATCTCTGGGTCCCAGGCTGTGACAGAGGTGCGGCGGACTGCCTTTGCGAGCGTCCGGCTCCTGGGGGCCCTCGCCTGGGGCCCCAGGCTTGTCCAGCACCGGTTCAGGGCGAGCAGCCAGTGCCGGGGAACGGGTCGAGAGCGCGGGGGGTCGACGTCCCGAAAACATCGTAGCGCGGGCTTCACGACGGTCGGGCCGTCGAGGTCGCTGCAGCTCGGGCGGGCCGGCGCTCTCTGGAGCGCCCGCCCTGGATTTTGATGGTCCAGCTTTCGTGGGATGTCTGCAGCGGGAGCCCGCGTCAGAGTTCAGATTGTGTCTCGTCATTCTCCTGACGGTCCCGTCAGCTCCGCCTCCTCCTCCTCCTCCTCCTCCTCCTATTCCTCCTCCTCCGCCTCCGCCTCCGAGTGCCTCGAACCCGAGCTTTAACCCTCCCCGAATGACGCCAGCGGGGCCCTGATGGACGCTGGCCCGCCTTGCACCTGGCGACCTGATTTCGCTAGCCCGGCGTTCCTCCTCGATTTCGGCCTCGCGGGCAGCTACCTCACCGCCCGCCAAACCAGCCCACCCCAACCCGAAGGCCCCGATTTGCCCTCCACTTCCAGCGGGGTAGGGGGGTCGGGGAGCAGGGGGAAAACACATGTGAAGCCCGCCCCCCGCCCCCCAACCCGAAACTTTGGCGATATTCGGGTCTTCGGGTTGAGTTGGGGTGGTCTGGTAAATAGTCGCTATCGGGCCAGAGGACCATCAGAAACGGATCCAGGACGAAAAGCTACCCCCCCCAAGATAAGATAATCGGTCGGGACCTTCATGCCGGCCGCCGGTTGAAACAATCAGAGCGGCGGGTGTTAGAGAGTGGCACCCGAGGGAAGCTGGTCCTGAGGCTTCTCGCCGTTTTCGAGATCCTGGAAATTTCAGGCAACTGCTTGTTCTCCGGGGGCTCCTGCAGGGCCCCAGGACTGTCAGAAAGCGACTCAGGCTGAAGAGCTGGCCCCAGGGGAGGGGTTGAGACCTCTGGGGGTCCACCTTCCGAGGAAAACCACGACGTCGGAGCTCTGGGTCTGGAGTTCTCTTGCAGTCTATTCTGGCTTCCAGGGCCCTCCCGGGGCCCCGGGACCGTCCAGAAGCGACTCAGGATGAAGAGCTGGTCCCGGGAGAAGGCCCCGGGATCCAGGACCCGTCCCCCTCGGGGCCCGCTCCCTTGATGCCGAGGTGGCGGAAGTGGCCATCGGAAAGTTCAGCGTCGCCATCGGCGATCTCCGCTCCGAGCTGATCGTGGCCGCCACCGTCGCGGCCTCCAGCGAGCTCCCGGAGGCGGCCGCGGTGGAGGCTCCCGCGAGCAAGGCCCAACCGAGTCCAGGGATCGTGGCCGCGTCGCTCGCAGGCTGCGTCGCGGGCATGTGCCGCGAGCGTGCGCCGCAGCACCGCTCCCCCTCCGGGGCGGGCCTCGACCCGAAGCCTGCGCCCTCGCGGCGCAGCGGCCGCGGCAGCCACGGCGCCGCGGACGCGGAGGCCGGCCCCGCCTCGACGCAGGCGCCACGGAGGCACAGGAGCCGGCGCCCTGGCACCGGCACGGGCCAGGGCGTGGTGCCCATGCAGCCCACACCGTCCGGAGAGGAGGCGTGCGCCGACAGCGAGGGGATCGGCTCGTGGGGCAGCCGCCGCAGCAGCGGCGGCAATGGCCAGGGCGGGGTGCTCCTGCATCCCATGCCGTCCGGAGAGGAGGTGCGCTTCGAGGGCAAGTCGATCGGCTCCGGGGGCAGCTGCCACAGCGGCGGCAATGGCCAGGGCGGGGCGCGCATGCAGTCCATCACGTCTGGGGAGGAGGTGCACTTTGAGGGCAAGTCGATCGGTTCCGAGGTGTCGGATCTCGCCGATGGCCACCTTACCATGCCGAATGAGAGAGCGAATACGGCCCGCCAGTCCTGCGCAGAGTCCGCCATCTTCCTGTCGCGGTCGCGCAGTGGGGTCTCACAGACATCCCCTTGCATCTCGGGCGTGCTGAACCCTGATTGGCCCCTGAGGCTGGCGTGGGACCTGGCGGTGATCTTCATGGTTATATGCGACAGTGTGGTGATCCCGTTTCAGTTGGCCGAGTTCCGAGTGGAGCCAGAGTTCGATCAGTTCTGGCTTTGGTTCACAGTCAGTCTGTTCTCCTGCGACCTCGTGATGAGCTTCTTCACTGGCTACAAGGCAGGCAAGAAGGACGTGAGCCTGCAGGAGGGAACCCTAGTCACAGACAAGGTCAGCATCGCAATGCACTATCTAAGACGCCTAATTACGGCGAGTCACCGCCGCCCCCTGCCTTCTGGGAAGCGCCCATGTGGCCGAACGTTGAGGCCAGACCTGCCAAGCTATCGGACCATGTGTTCCCCGAATCGGTTTGGAAAGCCTTCGGGGAACACGTGGGCATCTTGAAAGTCATCTTGGCCGTCTGGAGGCCATTTTGACCCTTTCGGGCCTTCTTGGAGGACATCTTGGAGGGCTCTTGGGCCGTCTCGGAGGCCATCTTGAGCGTCTTGGAGGCCTCTTGGGCCGTCTTGGGGGCCTCTTGGGGCAGTCGTGGGCCTCTTGGGCGATCTTTGAGGGCGCTTGGGCCGTCTCGGGCCGTCGGAAGGCCGAGAAAAAGCAAATGCCACAATCCTACAAAAACTCATGGGGAATCAAACATTTTTCGGCCCTTCCTGGAGGCCCTCTTGGAAGCCTCTTGGGCCGTCTTGGGCTATCTTAGAGCCATCTTCGGCCGTCTTGGTGGGCTCCTGGCCCGTCCGACGCCGTCGGAAGCCGTTTGGGGGCCCCTGTGGGCCGATTCGGGGCCCTCTTGGAATGCTCCAGGGCCGTCTTGGAGACCATCTTGGGCGTCTTAAGAGCCTCCTGGGCCGTCTTGGGGGCCTCTGGGGCCGTCTTGGGAGCCTCTTGGGCCGTTCTGGGGCCATCTTGGAGGCCTCTTGGGCGATCCTTGGGCGATCTTTGGGCGATCTTTGGGGGCTCTTGGGCCGTATCGGGCCTTCGGATGGCCGAAAAGAAGCAAATGTCAAATCCTTCAAAAACCCAAGGGAAATCAATGTTTCTGGCCGTTTCTCTGGCCTTCCTGGAGGCCCTCTTGGAGGCCTCTTGGGCCGTCTTGGGCCAGCTTCGAGCCAACTTCGGCCATCTTGGTGGGCTCCTGGCCCGTCTGACGCCGTCGGAAGCGGTTTGGGGGGCCTCTCTGGGCCGACTTGGGGCCCTCTTGGGGTGCTCCAGGGCCGTCTTACAGGCCATCTTGGACGTCTTGGAGGCTTCTTGGGTCGTCTTGGTGCCCTCTTAGGGCCGTCTTGGGGGCCTCTCGGGCAGTCCTGAGGCCATCTTGGAGGCCTCTTGGGCGCTGTGGGGGCGATCTTGGGGGTCTCTTGGGCCGTGTTGGGTCGTCGGAAAGCCGAGAATGAGCAAATGCGAAAAACCTTAAACAACCTTTGGAAAATCAATGATTTTGGCCTCTTCGGGCCCTCCTGGAGGACCTCTCGGAGGCCTCTTGGGCCGTCTTGGAGGCCTCTTGGGCACCTCTTGGGCCGTCTTGGGCCGTCTTGGAGGCTTCTTGGGCGAACTTGGACGTATCTGGGACCCTCGTGGGCAGTCTGGGAGGCCGTCTTGGACCATCTTGGGCGAGCTTGAGGGCCATCTTGGCCGTCTTGGAGGCCATCTTGAGCCGTCTTGCAGATGTTTTTCTCGACGTTGAGGTCGTTTGCGGGCCTGGAGGTCCGTTCCGGCACCCCGGCGGGACGGGCCGAAGCCAAAACCAAAACCGAAATCGTCTAGCACGCCAGGCACCCCTCTTGCAAGCAACAGGGGGCGGTGGATCGAAGACGCCTACGGCGAATCACCGCCGCCCCCTGCCTTTGTGGAAGCGCCTATGTGGCCGAACGTTGAGGCCAGACCTGCCAAGCTATCGGACCATGTGTTCTCCGAATCGGTTTGGAAAGCCTTCGGGGAACACGTGGGCATCTTGAAGGTCATCTTGGCCGCCTGGAGGCCATTTTGACTCTGTCGGGCCTTCTTGGAGGACGTCTTGGAGGGCTCTTGGGCCGGCTTGGAGGCCATCTTGAGCGTCTTCGAGGCCTCTCGGGCCGTCTTGGGGGCCTCTTGGGGCCGTCTTGGGCCTCTTGTGCGATCTTTGGGGGCACTTGGGCCGTTTCGGGCCGTCGGACAGGACGGCCGACAGAAAGCAAATGCCACAATCCTTCAACAACTCACGGGAAATTAATGATTTTGGCCTTGTCGGGCCTTCCTGGAGGCCCTCTTGGAGGCCTCTTGGGCCGTCTAGGGCCATCTTAGTGCCATCTTCGGCCGTCTTGGTGGGCTCCTGGCCCGTCCGACGCCGTCGGAAGCCGTTTGGGGGGCCTCTCTGGGCCGATTTGGGGCCCTCTTGGAATGCTCCAGGGCCGTCTTGGAGACCATCTTGGGCGTCTTAAGAGCCTCCTGGGCAGTCTTGGGGGCCTCTTGGGGCCTCTTGGGGGTCTCTTGGGCCGTTCTGGGGCCATCTTGGAGGCCTCTTGAGCGATCCTTGGGCGATCTTTCGGGGTTCTTGGGCCGTCTCGGGCCGTCGGAAGGCCGAAAAGAAGCAACTGTCAAAATCCTTCGAACACCTACGGGGAAACAGTGTTTTTAGCCTTTTCTTGCCTTCCTGGAGGCCCTCTTGGAGGCCTCTTGGGCCGTCTTGGGCCAGCTTCGAGCCAACTTCGGCCATCTTGGTGGGCTCCTGGCCCGTCTGACGCCGTCGGAAGCGGTTTGGGGGGCCTCTCTGGGCCGACTTGGGGCCCTCTTGGGGTACTCCAGGGCCGTCTTACAGGCCATCTTGGACGTCTTGGAGGCTTCTTGGGTCGTCTTTGTGCCCTCTTAGGGCCGTCTTGGGGGCCTCTCGGGCAGTCCTGAGGCCATCTTGGAGGCCTCTTGGGCGCTGTGGGGGCGATCTTGGGGGCCTCTTGGGCCGTCTTGGGTCGTCGGAAAGCCGAGAAGAAGCAAACACGAAGAACCTTTGAAACCTTTGGAAAATCAATGATTTTGGCCTCTTCGGGCCCTCCTGGAGGACCTCTCGGAGGCCTCTTGGGCCGTCTTGGAGGCCTCTGGGGGGCCTCTTGGGCCGTGTTCAGCCGTCTTGGACACTCTTGGGCCGTATGGGAGGCCGTCTTGGACCATCTTGGGCGGACTTGGAGGTCCTCTTGGAGACAGTTTGGAGGCCTCCTGGGGCTGTTTTGGGGGCCTCTTGGGGCCTCTTTGGGGCCTCTTGAGAGGCCTCTTGGGGGCCTCTTGGGCCTCCTGGGCGCATTTTGGGGCCTCCTGGGGACCTCTTTGGGCGAAAGGTTCGCATGTTCGCTTCTGGTTCCCTCTCTTGGGTTCATTTTGGGGCCGTCGTGGGGCCCTGTTGGGCCGTCTTGGGCGCCTCTATGGCCGTCTTGGGGCGCTCTTAGGTCGTCTTGGGGCCCTCTTGTAGGCATCTTGGGCCATTTTGGAGTGGTCTTGGGCGCCTCTTGGGCCGTCTTGGAGCGTCGGAAAACCGACAAGGCGAGAAAGCCAAAGCCTGTCAAAAACCCAAGGACAAACACTTATGTTTGCCTCTTGGGACCCTCTTGGGCGGCCTCTTGGAGGCCTCTTGGGGCGTCGTGGAGGCCTCTTGGGTCATCTTGAGGCCATCTTGGGCGTCTTGGATCGATCTTTGGGCGTCTCGGGGCTCTCTTGGACCGTCTTGGGGCCCTCGTGGGGCCCTCTTGGCCCGTCTTGGGGCCCTCTTGGGCCCGAAAAACGTCCTGCGGCAACACTCCCCGGAGCCCATGGGGGCACGCGGGAAGGTTCGGCAAAGGACCTGAGGACCCCCCCATTCTTCAGGCGATCGCAAACATGGATCCAGGGGGCGTGGATGAGCGACAGCTCCCGTTTCCATGGGAAACCTCGGATTTCCGCCGCCGAGCGGGGCGGCACCAGACGCATTCGGGGGGCATTCGGGGGGCGGGCACCTCCCCCGATCCATGGATTTGGCGACCCCCCCGCCAAATCCATGGATCGCTAACCCATGCCTGCGCGCCACCGCGGTCCGTGCCCGGAGGCACGGTGGCGGCTCTCCGCGGCTGGTTCTGGATCGATTTCCTGAGCACCGTGCCGTGGTCCGTGATCGCCAAGGCCGCCACGTCGGGGAGCGAGGGCGGCTCGTCGTCGGCGGGCGAAGTGACGAAGCTCGCAAAGGTTGGTAGGCCTGCTTTCCACCACCACCACCAGCAGCATGAGCTGGAGGGGGAGGGGGTCCTCCTCCTCCTCCTCCTCCTCCTCCTCCTCCTCCTTCTTTTCGTCCTCCTCCTTCTCCTCGTCCTCCCCCTCCTTCCCCCCTCCAACTTATGGTGGTGGTGGTGGTGGTGGAAAACAGGCCCATCAAAGGTTGTCAAGCTGACGCGGCTCCTGAGGCTCATGAGGATGCTGCGCCTCGCCAAGCTGTCGGTCATCTGGGACCGCATCGAGGGCCGCATCGGATCCATCACCGCCCTGAACGTGGTAAGCATGCTGAAGGTCCTCGGCACCTGGGCCGCGATCTGCCACTGGGGCGCCTGCATCTGGTGGATGGTCGGCAAGAGGGACAGCCTGGTGATGCTCGTCACGATGCAGGACGCCAAAGTGGGGGGGCTCCACTGGACGGAAGTGCCGCGCATGCACAGCGCGTTCGACGAGTCCTGGACGTGGGTGGAGAGACCCGCGTCGGAGCAGTACGTCTTCTGCTTCTACTGGATCTTGGGAGTCATGCGCACCATGCCGGCCGAGGTCACGCCCGTTACCCTGACAGAGAGGGTGTTCGTCCTCCTCTTCATGTTCTTCGCCGTCGCGGCCTTCGCCGTCAACGTTACCCGTATCACGCAGGCCTGGTTCAGGTTCGGCTCCCGCAGGGACGCCTTCAAGGAGGAGATGGCGTGCTTCCGCATGCACCTGCGGACGATCAACTGCGGGGACGCCCTGCAGATGCGCACGCAGGCGTGCCTGAACCACCTCTTCGAGAAGCGGAAGATACACGCCAAGGAGCTGGGGCTCCTGAACGCCCTGCCCGAGGGGCTGAAGAGCAAGCTGAGCCAGGCCCACAGGATCCACTACCTCAGGATTCGGCGGGCAAGCGACGGTGTGCGCGTAAACTCTTGGAGCTCCGCGCGGGCTCCGTGGCGCGGAAAGGAGGAGGAGGAGGAGGAGGAGGAGGAGGAGGAGGAGGAGGAGGAGGAGGAGGAGGAGGAGGAGGAGGAGGAGGAGGAGGAGGAGGAGGAGAAGGGGGCCGCCGGGGGCCCCATCGTCGATCCACGACGTCCGTGCGGAGCTCCGGCAGTCTGTGCGTGCACCGCTCTCCCAACACCCGGGCGCCACGCCCTTTCCGCAACGTCGAGGTGGTCGTCCCGCTCTCCCGGACCGACCCTCGATCCCCCGAGCTGCCTTCCGACGGCCCAGGGGCCCGGCGGGGGCCGAGTGATCGTCAGCGAACCGCCCGCCGTGGTCCGTGCTTCGATGCTGGCGGTCCTTCTTCGAAGGATGATCCCGCGGCTCCACAACTGGATCGACCCGGCCCTGCGGCACGTCTGCGACGCCACCGAGGTCCTGGACTTCTTGCCGGGCGACAAGCTCACGGAGAAGGACCTCTCCCCTCCTCCTCCCGAACAAGACTCTCCCCTCCTCCTCCTCCTCCTCCTCCTCCTCCTCCTCCTCCTCCTCCTCCTCCTCCTCCCCACAACAACTTGTTTTTCCCCTTCGCATCCTCCCTTCCTCATCCGCTTCTCTTCCCCAATCAATCCCTTCTCCTGCTCTCCCAGAATCCCTCCTCCCCCCTTCTGATACCCCACCTCCTTCCCAAACAATCTCCTCCTCTTCCCCAAGGGTCCCCTTCTTCTTCCAGGAAATCATTCCTCCTCCTCTGTTTGGGAACTTGGGCCCAGGTCCTCAAGTTCCCAGACTGGCCCTGGCGGCAGTTCAGCGCCCCCACCGTGGTTGGACCCGCGAGCCCCTTCACATCAAGCCTGCCGTTCTCCACGCACCCGTGGATGGAGTGCTAGACCAAGCGCTTGTCCCAGACCCTGGAACGCAAGTATTTCTGGCCCAACTGTGGCAATGACGAGGTCAAAGTCGACCGCATGCCACTCCTCCAAGATCGAGTTTAAGCGGCCTGAGGCGAAACGGTTTGGCATCGATTGAGATTCGACGCAGAATTCCAGAAGATCTTCCAGGACTTGGGCTCCGACGTGCCGCTATCCGGTGTTGAGCCCCTTGGGCGGACTCGTGCAGCCCGCTGATTGTGGTGACTTTCGAATGCGTACGGCCTCTTTGGAACCTCTCGTGGAAAGCGGAGGCGCAAGCTAGCCGCACTACGGAAGTTTCTGCATCCAGGCGTAGTTATTTTGGTCCAGGAGGCCCATGGAGATGAGGAGTAGATCAGGGCATGGTTGTCTGGCCTGCCGTACCGATGCGCATTATTTGGCGCCAGCTGCGCCAGTAGCGTTCGTACCCGAGGCCTGGCCTTTTCGGCCCCTCTGTTCCCTACCGGGCGTCCCGTCGACAACCACATTGGGATTCAACGTGCTTGTCCCTGGTCGGGTGCCGGCTTTACACATAGCGCAACATCCGGGCAGTTCCCCTGCGGTGTGTCTGGCGTCTTCCGCCTCCACGTGCCCGCCGTCAGCCTGTCGGCCCCTCCCCTGGCTGACGACGAACCCGTAGCAATGCAGCCTGGCTGGATTCATCCTCTGGTCGTCGCCAGTCGCACTCCGTCACACTCGACGGCGTGCTCGCGATGTTCATATTACCTCCACGCTCTGAGCTATCTTGAAACACCCGGCTTCCGCTTCTTTTGCGCGTCGCTGTGCGCCCGCTCCCGGCACGAGCTCTTCCAGCTGCAGCTTTTCGAGCTGGATTCGCAGGTCGGCCAGCACGCGCTCCAACTGAGCTGCTGCTGCTGCTGCTGGGGCTGCCCTGCCGACGCTCTCCTGGCTGTCACCCCGTGGAGCATCCATGCTTATGGCCTGACCCCCAGCGGCGAGCACCCTCTGACTCAAAACAATAATAACACAAGCCCATTAATAATGAATAAAACATGACAAATGAAAACATTATAACACATAACAAATGAAAGATGACAAACAAACTATGACACATGACGAATACATGACAAACAGCAAGAATTAATTACACAGTATAAACAATGAAACCTACATAAACACATGGAACACATAAGTGCGCGTCTGTCTCAGGTGGGCTTCCGTGGCGCTGCACCGGCGGTCGGCTGTGGTTGGACGGGGCTCGAGTCTCGAGGATGGGCGCCTGCCTGTCTCACGAATGACCCGCGGCGGGCTCGGCAGCACGAGGCTCGGCATGGATCCCGCCATACCTGGGTGCTGGCAGCAAGTCTCCTCCTCCTCCTCCTCCTCCTCCTCCTCCTCGGTAGTCTTCTATGCAGATGATGCCTAATTCCCCCACGCACTTGGACGCACACCAACCGAATTGGCGAATTGGTTGACGTTGGACAGGCTGTGCATCTCGCTGCCCCCAGGTTCCGTCTTCGGCATCTCCATGCGAGCCTACCTCGCGGCCGACCCCGCGACCTTCTCAGACCGCAGGTTGAGCGACCACGGCATCCTCGTGCTGGAGCTAGGCAATGCCGAAGCCCCTCGAAGCCAGGATTGCCCGATACTTAATTGGATCTGCAGGGAGCCTCTCTTCGCCTCCACGTTCGCGAAGGCGATGGCCGTTTCCAAAATCCATGGCGACGACCGTTGGATGCCTGGAAGATCAACAAGGCCAACGTATCGGTAGCTGCCCGCATCCAGCGATATATATATATATATATATATATATATATATATATTGACCCGGCAGCTGGACCTGAGCACCCGCGCATCCTACCCAGACGCTGGCCTGCTCGTCCAGCGTGCTGCCGCCCGAGCACAATGATGCGCGGAGACAGCCGCACGCTCGCCGTCTTGGTGAACTCAGCCCCGGTGCTGGCAGAGTTTTCAACGGCTTCCGACGTTTTTTTTGACGGCTTCCGGCCATTCGGGCTTCGCTGCTGCGGCCCGCGTGGCGGCCTCGTCCGTGCTCGACCAGGACCGCCAGGCCACCAGGGCGCACGCATCCACGGCACTGCAGCGCGGCGCCCCGGCATGCGGCGCCTTCTGGAATTGCAGGGCTGTGCGAGCCGCCTGGAAAGCCCAGCTCTGGCGCCCCTTCGAGAGCGCCCAGGTACTGGCGGGAATCGTGCAGCCAGCGATTCGCCCAGCAGACCAGCCCTCTGGAGGCGCTGCTGTCGCCCCGCCGCAGCCTCAGGCTTCGCCAGGAGTGGTGAGCGACCCCCGCTGGGATGGCCGCGGCCCTGACTGACGTCGAGGACGTGGATTGGGCTGCCCGCCCCGCTCCGCCCCACGGCGCCCGGCCTCGACGGCACACCCCACCCGGAGCCACTCAGCCCTTGCACGCTGCCACGCTCGGTGTCGCACAGGTGGGACGTGTCCTCCAGAAGGCTCCAGCGCGACGTGGCTCCCACTCGCGCCCAAGGGCGGCTGGCGCTGCTGCCCGCAGCTGGGGCCGTCGCGTGGAGGACGGCCGAGGCAACGCTGAAGGGGGTGGCGCGACCGTGCAGCGGAGTGGCAGGAGCGCGCTCGCGAGGTGCTCCCAGCCCGCACCGTGCTGGCAGGGCGTCGGGCCGCCCCTGCCTGGACCCGGCGGCAGTGGATGGCTCAGCGCATGCCCTCGGTTACCCAGGCCGGAACCGCTGTGCCCAGCGAACGGCTCCGCCGACGAGGCGATGACATGCCCTGGCTGGCTGAATGTTACGATGGCTGACACGCCCTGGGTGGCTGGCGATGACATGCCCTGACGAGGCTCCGCCGACGGGGCGATGTTACCCAGGACGGAATCGCAGTGCCCTGGCTGCAGGACATGCCCCGGCGGTGGAGGAGGTCCGCCGGGCTGCCGCCACAGGCCGCCGCGCCCGCGTGCCGCGCGCCCGCGCGCTCGCGGCCCCCCCGCGCGCCTGCGCCGCGAGGAGCTCCACGGGACGCTCGGGCGGCGCCACCTGCGCGCACGCTGGCCCCCAGCGTCCCGTCCCAGGCGGTCTGCAGCACGGGCGGGAGCTGCTCCGACGCCGGCCGGCCTGCGCTGGGCAGCGTGCCGCACGCTGGCGGGAGGGTGGCCGACGCCGCTCCTCTGGTGCGCGCGGGTCGGCGCTGGCTGCGCTGCCGAGGGGGGTAGTAGTAGTAGTAGTAGTAGTAGTAGTAGTAGTTGTAGTAGTAGTAGTAGTAGTAGTAGTAGTAGTAGTAGTAGTAGTAGTGTAGTAGTGTAGTAGTAGTAGTAGTAGTAGTAGTAGTAGTAGTAGTAGCAGTAGTAAAAGTAGTAGTAGTAGTAGTAGTAGTAGTAGTAGTAGTAG